CCCCAAAACCCCAAAACCCCAAAACCCCAAAACCCCAAAACCCCGAATGAATAAATTGCTGAAATATTTCGAAGCATTCAAATAATCTCAGTCAATTTATCAATAAATATGCTAATTCCACTATCTTAACTATTTCAACATTTTATCGAAATAAATTCGTAAGTAATATACTATCTAACCATTCAAAAATCTCTAAAAAGATCCTCCAATTCCATGTTTAATGATTAAGGAAATCAATTGATGTTTCATTTCCCTGTGAATGCTGGAACTACTAGTGCCAATAGCATAACTCCTACAATTGTTGCCAGCACTCCCTGAATAATCAACTTGTTATTTTCAATAAATTCTTTCATAGCCTTTACTTGCTTTTCTCTTTACAGCTTTTGCTTCTTGGTTTGTGGTTGCACCTTTCCCTTCAACTCCTTTGCCATTTTACTAAAAAGATTTTCCTTTTAATTATATCCAGAGTGAGTTATTAAATTACTAATAAATTATTAAAATATAAACAGTATATAAATATATTTGAAATGAATTCGTCTACCAAGATCAACACTCAAGTTCTAGAAAATCATGTCAAGGATGTCCTCTCCAGTGCCAAGTCGAAACTCACTGATCTCAATAAGGACATTGACAAGCTTTCTAAAGAAAACGATGAGCTCTAGAAGCAAGTAGACCAGTCTAATACCTAGAAATCAGAATTGCAAGAGAAAAATCGCAATTTAACTGAAAACCTCAAAAAGTTAAAGGTACACAATGAAGACTTGAACAGATAAAAGCAGGAATTAAGTTAGGAGTTGAAGCAAGTGAAGGATGAGTTATCTCAGCTGATGGATAGGGCAGATCAGCAAAAGAATTAGATTATGAAGGAGATCATGCAGTTGAAGGAAACTGAGAAGCAACTGAATGACACTCGAGAGAAAGAGAGAAAAAACTATGAGGAGGCTCACAAAAACAACAAGAAGAAAATAGAGATGCTGACTGAGAGTCTCAACAAAAAGGAGGCTGAGATTACTGACCTCAAGATGGCTTTGATTGAACTTAATGAGAAAGAGACTCAAAGGATGATGGAGCTGGAAAGGGAAGCTGATTAGTTCAAGAAAATCATCAATAAAAAGTAGTGAAGCCTGCTGATTAGTCAGTTAGAACTATCAAGTAAAACAACTATAATCAATCAACTTTTATCATTAAACTATGCTAACGTTTGCTTTAATATTTTCCTTAATTACTTTAAAGTGGTACTGTAGATCTGAGGGGTTTTGGGGTTTTGGGGTTTTGGGG